AATGACCACACATGCATACAAGGAGGTACCCAAACAAACCCGGAGTTGCACTGGGCGGAGCAGAGCTTTCTTAGTACGTATTTTTCCCACTAGGTGAGCATCAAGCAACTTGCTCTGAGTTAGTGCACCCGGTGGCATCACCTGGGAAGGTTCTCGCTGGTCACAATGGATTTTTCTGTAAAAGCAGTTTTTCTCGAACCTCATTTTTTTGTGATGGCTGATTTAAGAGAACAAGGTGCGGCTGTGAAATTTTGTTTCCTGCTCTGGAAAAAATGCTGCGAAAACCGTTGTGAAGTTGAACACAGCTCACAGGGACAGCACTATGGGAAAGACTCAAGTATATGGGTGGTTCTCTTGTTTCCAAAAAGGTGAAATGTCGACTCATTCTGGATGTCCAACAACTTCCCGAACTGATGAAAATGTCAACTTGTAGTGCATTTGGAGTTTGTGCCAGGTCAGACTGTGAATCAAGCTTTCTGTTTAGAGGTTCTGAAAAGATTGCGTAGAAGTGTGTGACAAAAAAGGCCTGCTTTGTGGCAGACTGGGGACTCGTTTTACCAGGACAATGCACCTGCTCACGCAGCCATCTCAGGGCTTCAGTGTTTGGCAAAAAACCCAGCATGGCTCTCTTGCCCCTTGCACGCTACTTACCTGGTCTCACCCGTGCGACTTCTCTCTGTTTCCAAGAATGAAGAGTGACTGGATGGGTAGCGATTTGATGACGTAGAAAGAGGTGAATAAGAAAACAAGGAGGTGCTATCAGCCATCCAAACAGATATGTTTGAAAAATGTTTCCAAGAACGGAAGCGTAGATTTGACAATGCATTAAGTGTAATGGAGAGTACTTTGAAGGTGATAAGGTTGTTTGGTTAAAAAAAAAAAATAAAAATACATAGCCTGGGGGTGGGGGTGGGGGTGGGGATTCCAGGTTTTTTGGGTACCCCCTTGTATTTCAATATTATGCATATGAGCAGAGATTCTCTCCTGTCACATATGCATCATTAAAAGCTTTAAAACCTACATCTTGTGTATACTCTTAATTCATGTATGACCCTCCAGAATAATATTCCTTTACCATAATGACTAAATCTTTGTGTGTTTTGTTTCCCTCCTGTCTCTCTGTTGTAGAGATTAACCATTCCCAGCAGTTGCCCCAGAAGTTTTGCGGAGCTTTTACATCAGTGTTGGGAAGCTGATTCCAAGGTGGGTAGATAGATTTACCTGCTGTTCAAGATTCTGAAGTTCTCTTTGTATGGCTTTCAGGTTTGCAATTGTGGGTTAGTGGAGTCCGCAGCTGCATTACGATGTCAGTGTGCAGTTTCAGACGGACAGACAGACAGACAGGCTTGCTAGGAGCCCCTACCTGCGGAGCCTCCAGCAGTCAAGATACTATCCTCACCCTTGAGCACTCAGTCCTCACTAATGATCACTTTGTCAATTTTTTTTTAATTCCTCACTACTGCTGCCCCTGTATGTTATAAAAGTAGTTTGTACCCCGTGCTCACTCTTCACCAGGTATTGTTCAAACACTTACCGGACACTCATTTCTTCCTATGAAAACAGGTTGCTTTTGTCCCCTTCTGCAGGTAAAGAGAACAAGCCTCACAGAGGTTAAGTAATGAACTCAAAGCTCCCCAGCTAGTAGGGTGATAGGGTGGAGGGTGAACCGAGCCGTCTGGTAATGCCCCTGCTGGTAACCACTGCACCCACCCCGTTAACTGCCTCCCCAGAGACAAGGCAGACGTCGTGCTCTGGAGAGGCCTGCACGTCCTCGCTGCCTGGTGTCGGCGCTGTTCTTCCGGCTCTCAGAATAGAGCTGGAGCTGCTCCAGCCTTCAGCTTTCATGTGGTTATCACATTTGAGCATGAATGGGCCATTTCCTTTCCCTGCAAAGACCATTTAAAAAGCCTCTCACATACATGCGGAAATATTTACAGATGAAATGATAGGGTGGGCTTGGATTCGCTTCCAAATAAAGTTCAGGGAAATGGATGAGGGGATAAATCAAATCAGATTGGCTGTGATCACTTTTTAACACATGGGATAAGTCCATGGAGGCTCATCGTATGACCCGCTCTGACATGTGTGCGTGTTTGGGACTTTCCCCAGTATCAAGAAAGCAAAAGATCCAACGTTTGGACCAGGGAGCAGTTATACTCTAAGAAGCAAGAGTCGTATCATGCAGACCCATCTGATTTTTTCAGGGAAAAAGATGGGTTATAGGGGATAAAGAGACCTTAACAGAATGACTGAACAATGGAATTTCTTCCATAATTTAAACCCAGTTCCAGTCTGACTCCCCCGCCCCCACAGGAAGTACGAGTGGAGGTTCTTTCTTTGTTATCATCGTCTCCTATACAGTGTTTCTTTCCCATGAATAACACATTGGGAAGTCGAGGAATTATGTTGGGATAACAGAGTGGATGGGACAGTTTCCCTATCACATTGCACCCCTGAGTAAGAACAGGAGCCCCGAGGAGGAGCGTGGAGCCAGTTGCAGCTGGAAGCTGCTGCGGCCCACGTGTCTTGGACAGTGCGTGCTCCAGGGACTGTGTTCGTGTTTCGCCCCCACAGCGTGCACTCTGCCCCCCCACCCCACACTTTGATTCCTGCTCAACAAACTGTCTTCTCTCTCTTTTTGTTCAGGACCCCCTCGATAGTCATGTCCTGTATTTATTTAGCATTATGTGCATTAAGGAATTCAAACTGTTCATTAGCTAGGGGGGGGGGTCCTTTTTTCCCCTCCCAGTTTAGAGTCTTCTGTCTTATCTGTGCTCCGTGACAACGTTGCATAGGTTTCGGAAGGGATCCGGAGGCACGAAAGAAGTGCCCGCTTTGCAGCGAGTCCCATAGCAAGTGTGAGTGCTGTCGGCCCGCTTGCTTGTTCAGGACGTAGCCTTGCGGACTGTGAACGCTGTGCTGTAACCAGCTTTCCCGGCTCTTTCGCGCTCCCATCCTTTGGGTGATATGTGGCCAGCTGCCACTTGGACTTTTGTCCCCAGCCAGCATGCCCAGCGCACTCTTCATGCTGACTCCTCTGGAAACAGCCTGGCCCGCCCTTCAGACCCTCATCGTGGTCCCTCAGCCTTCCCTGGTCACTCTGCGCCCTCAAGCCCATACTCAGTGGGCCTTCTCCTCACTTAGCGACCATGTCCTTACATGACATTCCACGTTTACAGTCGTAAACATTCTGACCATTTTCACGTGAACGACATACATCTGGCAATAGCAGACGCCAGAGTGTGAGGCTATGATGGTTTAAGGCCATGTGTCACTTTGACTCGGCCTTGCTTCTCAGTTGGCTTGGCAGTTACCCAATGATGTAATCTGCCAGCCATGTGACGAGGTGTTAATCCTCTGTTTTGTGATGTGATCTAGTCATCCTCCATTTTCTCAGCGCGCCAATTTTGACAAAGCAACCTGTTTTTGGAAACTAACCATGGCATTAAGTGAGAAGAGGGTGTATTCGTTTTCCTGGACCATCGGCGCTCTGACTCGCCGAGCCTGCCCTTGAACTGTTGAAGGTCTTCTCTTTCTAAGTAGCTGGTGCAGTCTCTGAGTAAAGGAAGCGAGTCTTTATAGTGTTTCCCACGGCGCCTGGTTAGAAGTAGGTGCGCTGATGTCGCTGACTGAAACATACCACCTTACACCCAGACCTCGGTGTCAGGCCTGTGCTCTGTGTAGAGCATGGTTAGTTACAATGTTGTTATTCCTCTCTCTTCTTTAAGTCTTTGGACTCTGTAAAATTAATAGTTGAAAATATCCAGCCTCTCAGTTGAAATGTTATGAAGAGGCAGAAAAGTATGCAAGATGATGATGGTAGTATATAAATATGAGGTCATTCCATTTGTTTGCAGGTGGTAGTCAAGATGTTTTATTGACAGAAGGAAAGACAGAAAGGCAGGTATTGATCCATGCTCCAAAACGGCATTTTTTAAAGAAGGGGGGAAATAATAGTTAAATCCATGAGTTGGTAGAAAATATCTTTTCCTCGTGCAATAAAAGCTGTCGAAGCAGTGTGCTGGAGTGCTGTAAGAGCATGCGACCCGAGTCAGTGCACCAGCTTTTGAGTGGATTGTTCTGTGCATCTCTGAGAGAACTTAAGACACGTCTCTTGGAAAATGTATTTTTTTTAATTAATAAATCATTTTATTGGGGGCTCTTACAACAATCCATACATCAGTTGTATCAACTGATACATGTATTTTGTAATGTATTTTGACATGGTTATATAACTTGCTGTTGTGTGAGTGGACATTTCTGAGAATGATTTCCCTTACCTATAAAACAAAGATAACATAAATACGATATCTAAGACCTTAATTAAATGGTCCGATTTTTCTTACATAGCAAAGCTTATGACATGTGGAGCCCTGGTGGAGCTGTGGGCTCAGTGCTGGGATGCTAGTTAGCCGGTCACTGGTTTAAAGACACCAGCCTCTCCCAGGAAAGAGATGCAGCTGTCTGCTCCCAGACAGATGTGCACCCTCACCAGCCACCCTGGGCCACTATGCATCAGAATCAATTCAATGGCCATGGGTTTGCGTGAGTTTTCACGCCGTGGTACCAAAAGGAATCCAGACCCTTTTCAGACGAACCTGCATCCTAAACCAAATGTTGTATTCTATCACTAGAATGCTCATATTAAATATTACCACAGAGCTCTACATTGTTTCTTTTTAAATATCTACTTTGATAATTGCCATCCGAAACCAACATAGTCTAGCTCTAGAATTTATATTTTTCTAGGGACTCTTGTCATCCCATTGAAAATGTCTTGCCTCTTTTCAAAAAAGGTTAAATCTAAGGAAACATATTACTCTTTAAAAAATTCATTAGCTCTTCCTGCGCTTTTACGTAAAAAATGAAAAGCCATTATTTGTGATTTAATTTTAGTTCCTGTGAACAATTAAACAACTGTTCCTTTTGCAACCCGGCATATGGTGGAAGACATTAAAATGAGAACCAAGTCAAAAGAGGGCAAACAGTCTTGTTCAAGATTTTTTTTAAGTTGGTGATTGGAGTGAAAGTTTATAAAGCAAACGGGTTTCCCGGTCCACCGTCTGTCCACATTGTACCAGGACACTGACTGCCATCCCCACCACACCGGGCACTCTGTCTGCCCCTCCTGGGTTTGCCATTTCCATCTGCCCACTTCTCCCGTCTCTCCTGCCTTCTGTCCGGAGCTTTACCCTGGGCAGATGCTGCCCATTGGATTGGGAATGGTTGATTTTTCTAGGAAGGGCATCCCTCGCTGGTGCTCATGGTCTGTCCCCTAAGCCTGCCAATCGTGTGGCTGAACATCGAGTCGTGGTGGTGGGTTCCGGTCCAGAGCTGAGGGTTACTGCGGGTCATGGTCTCCAGGGTTCCACCAGCCCCGGCAGACCAGGAAACCTGGCCTTAGGTTATGATTTTGACTTTCGAGCCACCGTTCTTTTGGACTCCATCTGGGATCCTCTCTTGGGATTCCTTTCAGGGTGGTCAGCAGTGGGTGCTGGGTGCCCTCTAATTCTTGTGATTTCTGGACCCCAAAGGCTGTGGCCCATCAGCCCCGTGGAAGAGCTGTTTCCATGGGTCTTTGATTTTCTTCGTTCTTCCTTGGATCAAAGGGAGGGAATTTTTTTGATGTTTTTTAAGGCATTTTTTTCTTTGCAATTAGAAGACATGTAACGACTTAAGCCTTGTCTTAAAATGCACCACGTGCACACACATGTTTAAATAAGTAGAAAAGTGGCAGAACTCCGAATAAATACCCCAGCTCTGTGCTTCTTGAGAAATGGAAAAATTGCCTTTTTTAATCATGTAGGAAGTGAGCAAGCCACCTCAACATTGTTCTTTCTTGTGTTTGTGCTCCCAAATTAAAATGCATGTTTAATTGCTGCCACTGTAATTTGCTCAGAAATGGTATAATTATGAAGCGTGATGGAGAGAGAATGTGCATCATCCTTGTATTATCTTTCTCCATTTTTGTTTTAACCTTTTGTCTCAACCTTGGCTGGAATCTCAAGAGACAGTCTAGTGTGGTTACCGCTTGCTAAAGAAATATACTCCACGGCTGCTTTTTCAATAGCTGGTGAACGGGCCGTACAGCTTCTCAGCACTAATGTGGCTTATAATGTGGAGTAAACAATGAAGACAGGGAAGTTATGAGGACTCAGAAATTGGGGGCTTTTTTCCTTTTTCCTCAGTGACTGGTTTGGGAAAGTCTATTTGTTCCGATAAAATTATATTTCATTATGAAAAAAATGTTCACAGTGAACACCAGTCTATCCATCACCCAAACTCTAACATGAACTTTTTACTACACTGGCTTTATCACCTGGACACCTTTTTTAATGAAAGGAGTTATATTTTCTGTCTTAGGGGTCTTTCATGATACCCACAAAAGTTGGTATTCTCCTGACCTAGAAATAATAAGCTACAAGATTCCACCTGGAGCCAGGAGACAAGAACACACTTCAGTCAGCTCTCAGGAATTGATTTCGACTGTAAAGAACACAGTTCCCTAAACCTGAGTAATCGAGCTAAGTGCCGTAAGGCAGCTAAGCCGGAACATTGTACCATATCGTATTTTGTCATCGTGCTTTGAGCTGATTACAAATGCTTGTCCATAACGCCACTCTGTCTTTCAAGATCCACTTTCCAACGAATGAGTCCTTTTCTCTCCCTCCGTGTGTCTGTCCTGCAGCAACGGCCATCATTCAAGCAGGTCATTTCAATTCTGGAGTCCATGTCCAACGACGCAAGCCTGCCCGACCAGTGTAACTCATTCCTGCACAACAAGGCCGAGTGGAGGTAGGTGGCCGGGGTGCTGGGGGGAGTCACAGCCTGCGGCCCGGAAGGACCACGAGTGGGCTCCGGACGGACAGGACCACACAGCTCGAAGACAGTCCTGACTTCGAAGGAAAGCTTAGAAATGTTGATGTATTTTTTTTTAATCGAGTAAGTCTTCCATTACATAGGTAAGCCAAAAAATAGAGAGTGAAGCTTTAGGCCTGACCGTATGTCTGTGCCTACGGATTTGGCGAGAACCACGGAATCGTGCCTGCTGAGATGCAAAGATGGCTACCAGACACCGCCCTGTACCCTCCCTGTGGTGGGAAGCTTTGGCCTTGGTCCAACGGGTCACAAACAAGCCGCTTGCCTTAAAGTCGGCCCCGTGCCCTATCTGCCTGCACAGGAGGTAGGGAGAGTAGAAAGACTATTTCTTTTCACCCCAAGAAAACACTTGGTGTTATAAATCCAATTAAACTTTCACGCGGACTTAGTCATGAGGGAACTGTGTGTCAGTGCAAAAAGCAAGCCCAGGGTGCAGCAGTTGAGCCAGGTCACATGGTGCACGAGTATAAATAGCGGGTTTGAGAGCGGCCAGAGGCCCCCTCTGACTCAGCGGAGATTTTAAGTAACTTCAGCCTGCCCCCTTTGGCCGTGGCCGGAACATGACACCTCTCGCCATCTGCTGGCCCCGAGTGAGTACTGCATGCCCCTGGAACATTAGAGTTGTTTACTTCTATTCTTAGACATGTCTTTGGACTTTGTATATGAGTGATGTTTTACAACAACCTGATTTATTTTTATTCTTTTGAAATCCCCATGGCCGGTGTGTTTCAGACAGGAAGAGAGCGGAGCAAATGAGATCTCATCCCTTTGAGAGCCATGGATGAGTTCCCATTACCCTGAGGACAAGCAGCACAGTACTTGGCCAGCGGCCTGGGACCCTGCGTCCTGGGGCCTAGCCAGCCTCCTCTCCCCCGCATCCCTCCGCGCCACCAGCTCCACTTTCTTTCAGCCTGGCCGCAGAGGCGTCTCTTTGCTGGGTTTTTCTTGTTCTTCACACTCAGGGTCATGGCAAACTCTGTGGCCTGTGTTTAGCGCTCATCCCATTTCAGCTGCACACCACCCCTGATCACCGCCCACCTACCACCGTTGACCTTACCAACCTTTCCAAGAACAGCTGAAAGAGCGGGTTTTCATGGAAGGTTTCCCAACTCAGGCCTGGTCAGGCTTCATACCATGTGCTCCGTGAGCATCTCCTTACTGCTCTGGGCCTTTCAACATCATTCTGCAGTGGGTTGTTTAATTCCGGTCTCCCTGGGCAGACAAGCTGCCTTGTCATCTCCAGCTGCTAGAATATGCCTGGAACACGGCAGCTGCTCCATCCATACTGGGGAGACAAAGAAAGGTACCGTGGTGGTAATGCTGTAAGAAGGCATTATGATGATATGCTATCAGAGAACACAAACCGGTTAGTTAATTAATTTGCTATAGTAAGCATATTTATATGCATTTATTCAGAACAATCCCTGGACCTCTGCTGGTGGAAGGTGCCTTCCTGGGTGCTGGGCTAAAATGATGAGCAGAAGAGTCCCGAGGCACCGGGGCTCCCAAGCAGTACCTGATATAAACCACTAAATATAATTCCCCAGGGGTTATTTCATTCCTATTCTGATAAGCTTTGTGACAGAGATGCACTGGGTGCCTTAGAACTTATAAACACATAGCCTGGTTTGGCCTGAGGATATATTACTAACATGAAGAAATGCTATTGATCTGTTTCCCAAAGGATCAGTAGGATTTCAATGCTATGGTTAACACCCTTAGGTGACCCGTCCCACGGGCCATTAAACAACGTGGATACCTGAAAGAGGGACTGGGAAGAGGGGCAAGAGACGCGAGAAATGGAGGCAAGACAGGAATCTGATCAAGCCTCATTTTATTGAGCAGAAGGCAGGGGTTTAAATACCCTATGGTGGGCGGGTAACATTACATCATATGCTAATAAAGTGTAATGAATACCCAATGGTGGGTAACATTACATCATATGCTAATAAAGTGTAACGAATAGTATCCAATAATCATGTAGCTATACAATATGGAAGAAATGGCAGGCATCAGTCCTCAAACAGGTCCGCATGTAAATGAGGTGCACTTGGACGGTCCACATGTAAATGAGGTGCACTTGGATGCCTGGTGTCCAATGAGCATGGCGGCTGCCTGCCACCGAGCACCAATCATCACAAAGGTCAAACTCAGGCAGGACAATAGGCCAGGGAATATCCGGGAATGGGAAGCTTAAAGACAGCGGACGGCGCAGGCCATGGACTGAGAGACATGCAGACTCCCACATGTGCAGACTCCTACACTTAGGAAAAAGACGAGGCTTTCTGTTCCCATCAAGAGTTACAGTCTCGGAAACATCGGGGCACTTCCACCCGCCCTATGTGGTCGCTGTGAGTCAGAACCAACTGTGGTAGTAAGTTTGGAGTGTAGAGTTAATACCATTAGATAAGGTGTCTCGTGAAATACATAACAAAATCAGAAAAACAGGGAGGGTGTTAGACAGTTTGCTACCTAAGAAGATAAAGCTTTTAAATGGTCACAGAGAGTTTTCAGTGGTGCTATCAGGTGAGCATTGGGTAAGCTCTGGGCTGCTAACCGCAAGGGCGGCAGTTCAAACCCACCACCTGCTCTTCAGGAGAAAGATAAGGATCTCTTATCTTATCTTTCTATAAAGATTGATAGCCTCAGAAACCCTACGTAGGGTCCTTGTGAGTCGGCGCTGACTCAGTGGCAGTGGTTTGGATTTTTGTTTTTATCTAGTCAGGAGGCATGCCCATCATAAATACATTCCCATGACAAATGGCATGCGATTGCAACTTCTCCCCCTGCTGTCAGATGGCTCAGCAGTTCTCAAACTTTAGGATTTCAAGAGTCCATTATGGTCCTGGTATGTGTTGAGGGCCCCAAAGAGCACTTGTTTAAATGGGTTATATCTATCAGTGCTTACCGCGTTAGAAAATAAAACTTAACAGAAGAATAGATTTATTCATTGGGTCACGTAAACAAGCAATAATAAGTCTGGCCTCCACACTTAGCCAGGTGCAGTACCACATGCCATGAAGCCTCTGGACAAGTCTCCTGGTCACCGGCAAGAGGACGAGAGCAGAAAGCAGATTTGGCCTGAGTGTGGTTTAGGAGACACATTTCACCTCGCAGATCTCCGAGAAGAAGGTCGCTCAGGGCCCAGATCACAGTTGAAACCATTTTAATAGAGGAAGGATTGCTATTGTGAACTTTCACTGAAAGCCCAGTAAAATCATTCTTAAGTAGTATTGTTATTTTTTAAATGATTCAAGGACATGCAGAGGCATTTCACAGGAGAAATCAAAGGACCAGGTAACATGTGAAAAAACTATTCAGCCTTAAATATATGCAAGGGAACAGATTCATCTATGGGATCAGGCAGAGTTTACCTTATGAACATTTCCAGTGTTACCAGCTTTCTCGTAGGTAGCTGGTAGGAACAGTTGGGCAATATAGATCAGATGTCCTGAAAACAATCACAGTCTTCCCCAGAAATTTTATGACAGTCAGCGAGATGCTTGTACAAGAATGTAGGGATACTCGTTGATCATTGTAAACCTAGAAATGGCATAAAGTACAGTAACAAATGAATGTTTTCTTTTAAATGCGGATATTCCTACATATGGAAGTGTATAGAACCATTAATGATGACATGCATCTGTGTCAGAAGAATTGCTTTTGATGGTAAATGGTTTGAAAACGCATTCCATATGTTTAGAACAATTCCCTTTTCTTCAAAGAAATATACATATATATATAATTTATATACACGCACATATGGGTACCAAGAGAAAAGTATTAAGTGTTCTAGTGGGTGATGAGATTACGGGGATTGTTTTATGTTTGTATACCTTTATTTTCTACCTTAAATCTGAATTAATTGGATGATAGTTTTGAAAAAATGTTTCAAGAAGAAAAGGGGATTGAAATGGGTAGTAGAGACTGATAACAAAAATGAAATGCGCTGGTGGGTTTTGGTTAGAGGCAAACATGCACCTCGTGGCCGTTGCCAGGCCGTTGAATCCTTAGCAGTATTCACGTGACGAGAGCGCTTTCCAGCCGGGAGGAACCTCCCAGAGCAGGACCGTGGTAGGATGTGACTAAGGCCAAAAAGCCTCTTTGGACGCCGAGGGCCAAGAAGCAGGAGGGGTTTTTGTCCGTCAGCTGGATATTTCAATATCGGTCTATAGCTGTCCAAGGCTCAAAGGATACCCCATTCCGCTGTCTCTTTTCCATCCTCAACTTTTGTCTGGGGAAACCATGGTTTCCGATCCCAGGGACCTTTTGGCCCAGGTCCCAAGTGCAGTCCAGAGAACCAGCATCCCCACAAGTCTGGTTCCCATTCTGCTCTGGTCTTTCTGGCAAGGGCTCGCTTTCTGGGAGCGTTTCCGCTCCACAGCGGGACACGTTCGAAGCACCTACTTTTTCAAAGAGTACTGAATTCTTTATTCCAAGAGCTCCTATAAAAGCAAGCCGCCACAAAACCACATAAGTGCGAGGATTCTTCCCTTTGGCCTGTCCAGTGATAGGAAGGAAATCCAGCGTGCCGGGCATCGCCTTGGTCAGTTCACATCCTTAGGAGGCGTCTCTGTTTGTTGACGCATCAGCAACGACGGCACCGCGCCTGGAGCACAGAGCACGTACCACGTTAGCGCTGTCCACGTTTTCCAGTGTCACTCGGCCCCGCCGTGGTCTGCTGACCTGGGGTTATTCTGCAGCGTGGTGTAGCCATCAGGAGTTCAGGTCTGTCTCTTGGTGAAACACTTCGGTTAGTCGTATTCTTTCTTGCTGACCAAAGTGTCTTCTCCATGACATACTTGCTTCAAAACAAAACAAAACAGAAAAACAGAGCTCAAAAAACCCTCCACTTGGGGATTTGACTCTTAAGCAGAAATCATGCAGCTGAACGGTGGCAGGCAATTGGTCATACATGATGTGGATTTATTGCATGATTTGTAATACAGTCGTTTTTAGAAATTGGCTTTTTTAATTTCAAGTTTAATGGAGAAAGGTCATTTCGATTGATTGCCTGTTTTGATTTGGCATATGGGGCATTGACACTAGTTGAAATCCACCTCGGCCAGACTTCAGAGAAAACCATCATTTTCCGTGCGCCAACATACTTTAAAAGGTACTTTAAAAGCCTGCCTTCCCACCACAGGAAGGTGTGTACATGCGTCAGCGCCTGCATGGGACACACCACACGCATCAACCAAAACACAGAGCACAGCACGGGGAGGGGTGCTCACAGGCTTGGGGTGCGGCCTTGGTGAGCAGGGAGCCAGGAGGCGAGGCCTGCAGAGACTGGCTGAGGAGGAGTATTGAGCCTGGGGCCGCCTCTTTCAGCTCCCCGAGCTGTTTTCCAGAAGGGCTCAGAACCGCACTGGCTCCCAGAGCTGGAACCGGAGTGGAACGGTCGGCTTACTTTCCAAGCGAGATGGACTCTGTTGGCCATTTGCGCCGATCAAACTGAAGGTCCGTGACATCCGCCCCGCGGTGGCCGAAGGTCTGGGCCGGGCCGGCGTTAAAGTGAACACCAGCTGCGGCCAAATTACCACTGGGTGCGCCCAGCTCTGCAGCCTCAGGGGCGTGTGTCTCCCACTGCTGTCTTCCTCTGAGGATGGCTCCAGGGTTGTTCGTTTCTGGGTTTGTTTGCTTTTTAATCACTTTATTGGGGGCTCATACAACTCTTATCACAATCCATATATACAGTTATTTTGCCATGTCTTACACTGTCCGACGTCTCCCTTCACCCACTTTTCTGTTGTCTGTCCCCTAGGGAAGGGGTTATATGTAGATCATTGTGATCGGTTCCCCTTTTCTCCCCTACCTTCCCCTTCCCCTCCTGGTATCGCTACTCTCATTATTGGTCCTGAGGGGTTTATCCGTCCTGGATTTCCTGCGTTTCCAGTTCCTATCTGTACCAGTGTACATCCTAGTCTAGCTGGATTGTAAGGTAGAATTGGAATCATGGTAGTGGGGGAGAGGAAGCAGTAAAGAACTAGAGAAAAGTGTGTGTTTCATCAGTGCTATGCTGCACCCTGACTGGCTCGCCTCCTGCCCGAGACCCTTCTGTGAGGGGATGTCCAGTTGCCTACAGATGGGCTTTGGGTCTCTGCTCCACGCTCCCTCCCATTCACAGTGATAGGATTTGTTGTTCTTTGATGCCTGATACCTGATCCCTCGTGATCCCACAGGCTGGTTGTGTCTTCCATGTGGGCTTTGTTGCTTCTCAGCTAGATGGCCACTTGTTTATCTTCAAGTCTTTAAAAAATCCAATGTTTGACCTAAGGTTTTCTACACAGCTAACCAACCCCCCCCCCACCACCACCCCTCAACACACACAGCAATTCTTCCATTTGCAAAACAAAGATTGTGAATGGCTGTGATAGTTTGGTCTGGTACATCGGGGGTGCATTTGGGGGTGTATGATGCATAGAGCCTGCTGCCCCGCCCTGTCCTCCTAGCACTGCTGCGAGCCTTCCCTTCCGTGCTGCCTTGCTCGCCGGCGTGTGGGTATTTGAGGTGGACGGACAGACGTTTTTTACTCTTAAATCGCCTCCTCCTTGTTCTGAGGCACTTTCCCGACAACAGAGTAGACTGTTTGGGCCCCATGCAGACTCGCCTCAGTAGCTCTTCCACCAATGGGATTTTCCAATCCATGCCCAGAACCTTGTTTCCTCCTTCCCACACCCAACCCGCTAATTCTCATACCCATTCTCAGCCGCCGAGGCGTAGGACTAAGCTGCCCGTTGCCTCCTCCTCATTTGCCCTGGAGTAAATAGGCCGTCGTTGGTTACCCACACTCAGTAACCGGGATCTGGAGGCTCCACAACCCACTGGGGCTTGGCTGTTGCTCAAGCCCTTGCAGCGGCCGAGCTCCCCAGGCCCCTCTGTTTTCTGTCTTGGGGGGGGGGGGGAGGCTCCTCTCTCCTAGCTTCCCGCCCTCCTGTGCACTCTTGCTCCACCCCCACCCACCCTTCCTACCCTCTCTCAGCACTGTGGCTCAGTTCACAGGCTTCCCAGCATCTCCAGGGAGAGAGAACTTCCCGTTCTCAGGGCAGACCTTTAGACGGAGAATGGGGACAGCCCTATAGGAGGGAAGAAAGTTTGCGCTGAACCATTGGCCAGTTTCCGTTTCTACAAGGGTCAAGTTTCTAGAACGAAGCAACAAGTTCCTATAAGCATATTGTCCTAAGCGGTAACCTTGGCTGGCCTGTAGAGATAAAGGAAGAGCATTAGAATTCAAAATGATCTTAGCGTTCCGTGGTTTCCCAGAGTAGCCTGATGGTAAAAAATCACGTGGGTCTTTTAAATGGAGTCATGGAAATTCCTGGGCCCTGTGCAGCCCTGGTGGCCCAGCAGGTTAAGCCTTGGGCAGCTCACTGTCAGTCGGCTACTCCGAGCCCCCAGCTGCTCCCCAGGAGGCAGATAAAGCAGGCCGCTCCTGGGAAGACTCAGTCTAGGAACTGCGGCGCAGTTCCACTCCCGCCTGTCTGGCCATTGGCAGTGACTTTTGGTTTGGGGTGCTAGCCGTGGAGGAAGTACCGCCAGAGTGCACCTTAGAGGCCAGGATGGCATTCCTGCGCTCCAGGCCTTTGGACGTGTTGTCAGGAAAGACCAGGCCCGGCAGAGGCCCTCGGGGTCCAACAAGAGAGAGACCCTCACGGACAGGACTGACCCAGGGGCTGCAGCGTTGGGCTCTAACCTAAACTGTGAGGAAGGCGCCAGGGGACGGGGCAGTGTTTCCTCCTGTCCTGTCCACGGTTGCTATGAGTCGTCCCTAACAACGAGAGCCCTACGTAATCCTGAGTCTCCAAGTCTGGCTTTTGTTTTTGCTTAAAAAAATAAGTAATCATAAAAACAACAACTCGGGCTCCCCAGGTAATTCTCGGGAACGAGCAAGTTGGGAAGCCCTGGTGGAATGTAACCACCATCTCCTCCAAGTTCAGGAAACTGAATCCGTTTAATCAATTGATTGCTCAGAGCACTCAGCCCGTGAATAGGCTGAAGTCCCATCTCAGCCACTTACTAACAGTGTGATATTGATTACCGAACCTGCGTGTCATTTTCTCCATTTATACACGAGATGAGTACCGGTTTCTTGGCGACTGTTGTGAGAATAAAATGAAATCTCGTGTCACCATGCTTTGTAAATAGCAACGCGCTCGATGGACGTGGAATATTGAGCAAGTAGCTGAAGGCAGGACCCCGCCTGCCCCTTCCGCGATGGGGCACGAGGCCGATGGGTGTTTCCTTCCAAGTTAGAAACGACCCGGGGAGCTCGGAAGACTTCTCCTCTCCCCAGGTTCTCTTGAGCAAAGTCTGCAATGCCCCTGCTCTCCCCAGGTTCTCTTGAGCAAAGTCGGTAATGACCCCCGCTCTCCCCGTGCAGGTGTGAGATCGAGGCTACCCTTGAGAGGCTGAAGAAACTGGAGCGGGACCTCAGCTTCAAAGAGCAGGAGCTGAAAGAACGAGAGCGACGTCTCAGGATGTGGGAGCAAAAACTGACCGAGCAGTCCAGCGTCCCGGTGAGTCTGGCAGCCGTCTCCGTCTCCCTGCGCCCTTCCTGTCCTCTCCCCCCGCCCCTGGAAGACGTGGCTGAGCATGGCGGCATGGCTTCGCTCCCCACCCCCATCCGGTTATATTTAAGCCTGATCCCATGTCAGCATCTTTCCCTAGGGTCCACACTGTCACATTTCAAGAGTTAGGTCCACAGACACACGTGGCATTGTTGTCCCCGGGGGTCCAATGGACTGCAGGTCGTCCACTCTAACACCCCACAGAGTGACTACGATGAAAACTCAACTCGATGCCCACATTTTAATTCCTCTTGGATAGTTGCTTTAGCTATTATAAAAAGAAAACTTAAGTGCCCTTCGTTATATGTCTTTTAAAAGTACCTTTAAACATACTCTTCCGTGTATAAGGAATAAAATCTTTCTGCCTCCCTATTTCCCCCCCAACTCATGGAGGATCAGCATGATGCCCGAAAAAGGGAAATATGGATAAGGTTTCAGGTGCATTATCAGATGTCACTTTTCAGGGGGAAAAAAATGAGTGGTTGTCCAAGCAGCTCCCAAATAAGAATTTGAACTGGGTTCTCATGGGACACAAAAAAGGGACCACAGCTTATACGTCAAGTTCACCAGACCCTCCAGAGAGGGAGGGTCCGAGACGTGTGCCCTCCCAATCGAGGTGGTCTATAGACCAAAAGGGCCAGAAGTGTCCCCGAGGGGCAAGGCAGCAGGCCCTCCCTCAGAGCTGCCCAGGGCCAGGAGGGAGGCCACGGCTGGGTGCCCCTCGCAGCTTCCAGAGGCTGATGGGGGGTTGGTTTTGCTTCCTGTTGTTGTTTTAAGTGTATTGAAGTTTACAGCTCTAAAGCACTGCATGGCTTGATTCTTTCTCCATGCAGGATGGGAAGAAAGAAAAGTTGTAAGGACCTACTAGGGCATGCTCTAGAGCCCCTCTTTGGTTTCCTGGCCTCTGTTTTGCTAAGAAATTACAGCCTGCTTGCACACACGATTGTTATTAGTGCTGTAGTTGTGTGATACACGGTGAAACGCCGCAGGTGCGCCCTCCGAGGTGTGCTTGCGTTTTAACTCCAGAAAACTTTCTGTGGCGGGCCGGCGCTGAGGGCGACCCTCGCACCACCGACACACGAGGCACTGGCTGATGAGGATTTCTTCCCTGTTTTTTGTCCCCGCGCCCCCCCCTTCTGGGGGCTAAGTTTGCTTTCTTTACAGTACTTGCTTTTAATGTCTTTTCTGCCCAGAGCTTGTCTTTCTGAAGGAAAGTAAGTTTATGCTCATGAATTTTACAAGTGCCTGTTTTCTTTATTCTCTTGAGGAAGTGGCCTGAGGTTTAGGATTTCGGTTATGTCATTTCAACTACCCAAGTTTGACATTGACATCACTTCATTTAAATATAAAAAAAGGAAAGGCTGTCTTAGGGAACTGATGGAAGGTGGGGTGGTGATGGTTAGGAAGTGGTTAATTCGAGGGAATTCCTTTCCTGGCAACTCATTTTCTATCGGAAAACAACAGTGCCAGTTAAAGATAGGTGGAGGGGTGAGTTCTCTAGGCGGAAATATGGACAATGCTTCTGTTTTTGTTTGTTTGTTTTTTAAATAAGAGTTGTAGCTCAGTGTAAAATTTTTATTTACACGATCATAAGAATAAATGTGTGTTTTTTGAGAGGCATTTGCTGAGATCTTTATAGAGTCAAGGATTACATGAGGAAAGTCCTGTAAAATAAGCAACAAAGTTTCCCAGAGTGTGTAACAATTGAAGACAACTTGGAGAAGCTACAAGTTTCACTTCACGGGAAATAATGTCCTGTTTCCAATGTTACAGGAGCTGAAGCCACTTTTATTTCCTTCCATACAACTGGTATTTTTAACCGAGTTACATGAAGTTTCCTTCGTGAACTAGCCACTCCTGAAATCCTTTCCTATGGAATGGGCTATTTAAAAACAGAAACAACAAAACTCTGCTCCAAGTTTGATTCAAAAATGAGAAAATTGGCCCTAAACAATATCTCCACACCCAAAGTATAAAAATTATGCCAGCGTTGCATTAGTTTTAAATGGTTAATCATAAAATTACCCATATACGGGGTGGGGAGCCTTTCTTCTGTGAAGGGCTATGCGGATTATTATAACATCGTTCGAGGGCCACACTGGACAGACATTTAATTAACTGCCCCCTAAGGGGACGGCTGGAACTGCATTAGCCTGTCTTGATGATTTCGGGCCTTAGATGGCCCAAAGGCTGGATGGAGGCTCCCTATCCCCACTTTAAAACAGCACACACAAAGAGAATCCTTAATTTCCTTCCTTCTCCAAAGAAGAACGGTCATTTTTTTTTAGTTCCAAACAGTTTTACCCATAAAGTGGATATGGCAGACATTTCTGGGAGTAGGTCAACTCTTCAAAGTAATTACATAAGGTAATTATAACAACTATTAAAAATTTCTAGAAATAAAATGGTTCTCTTAAAAGCAGGAAGAGTTTCAGTAGATAATGGAGAGAATGGAAAAATTCTAAATCCATACTCACTCCTCCCCCTCCCACCCCAGTTTCCACAAGCACCTCCCTCCTTGTGTATGATTTCAGTGTTAGAGACAGAATTCATCTAGACTTTGTTCCCAAGTGAATTATTTCCTAAGTGGTAGAATTTGTTCACAAGTGAAGCATTTCCTAAGTGGAATTCAGTGGTAGCATTATACCCGGTCTGGTGAAGATAATTAATTAATGGGAACAAGTGACACGTAGGCCCATTTTTATTTGATAATCAGAATCCTACTTAGCTAAAAAGGTAGTTAATGATCCAAATAGCCCTAGAACTTCATTGACAGCTGGACTGGGAGTTTGCACTTCTTTCTAAACTTCTCTTCTTGGGTTCGTGGTTTCTTTAAACATGAGATTCACTCTCCACTAAATACCTTCTTTTAAAACGTAATGATTACATGAAGGCTTCTCTGTGAAAGTGATCTTGGGAAAAATTAAGAGCTATCCACAAATCTGTTGTTTTCAGCAAAATGTGGGTTTAAAACTACAACTTACTTTCCATTTGACATGGGCTTGCTGTGCTGCTTGGAAAGCCACCCTCTGACGAGTCACGCTGTCCTCCAAGTGATGGCAAAGGAGGCTGGAGCCCGATCTGCCATCCGAGAACTGCACGCATGATTCCCCTACGTCCGTTTGTTTTGCTAATCATTTACTTCCTTTGTCATGCCAACTAATTTTGTGGTGCCTGTTTTCTTTATTGAAATTGGTCCTAATCTCTCTTTTTACTTCTGTCCTTTCTCCCCTTTTGATAGCTTCTCTTGCCTCTTGCTGCAAGAATGTCTGAGGAGTCTTACTTTGAATCTAAGACAGAGGAGTCCAACAGTGCAGAAATGTCATGTCAGATCACAGCAACAAGTAACGGGGAGGGACATGGCGTGAACCGAGGTCTGCAGGCCATGATGCTGATGGGCTTTGGGGATATCTTCTCCATGAACCAAGCAGGATCTGTGCTGCATTCTGGGATGCAGATAAACATGCAAGCCACGCAGAATTCCTCCAAAACCACATCTCAGAGAAAGGGGAAGAAAGTCAACATGGCCCTGGGGTTCGATGACTTTGACTTGTCAGAAGGTGACGATGATGGCGGTGACGAGGAGGATAATGATGTGGATAACAATAGTGAATGAAACGCAGGAAGCAAAGTAGGCAAATTAGAAATGTTCGGGGGGGAGAAAAAGACACAAAAGAAACTTGTTCTCCGCGTCTGTACGGGAAACCAGAGAGGAGGTAGAAACCAAGCACTGCGTTTTTAGGCCGGTCACCTTTATACAACAGTATTTTCTGTATTTGGTTAGCCTAAAGGAAAAATGGGCGGGCGGGGGGATTTAAGCCAAAGGGTCTAAGTAATGAACCAGTCGACCATGGTGCCTGATTATAGAAATTTATGATTCTGCATGCACCGTAGCATTCTTAAATGAATGACTTTTTTTGCCCTTTTAAAAGACTGCATATGTTATAGTTTGAATGTGACCTGATTTCCATTAATCATTAGGTTAAGCAAACTTGTGTTTGGAACAAGCACCCTTAACCCTAATTCTCTGATGCTTAATCTTCTCTGTGTAACACACTACACTTTTTTTCTTATCGCAGTACACTGTAATGCCAAAATGACTCACCGTAATGACGAAATCTAACCACAGCAATAAACACTGAGATGAAAGAAACAATGTGTTTCTTCAGAAATACTTAATGCTGTGGGTTTTCAGTACTCCGTGACACAACTGCTCAGAGTAAAGTCTGAGATGTGGTCCCATAAAGCGTGCAAAGGGGAAGGACCGTGCATTGAAACCAGCCGCAGACGTGGCCGGCGCTCTAAGTGGTGCAAGCCCTGGCAGCTCGATAACAATACATTGTCAGAAGAGCTACAAGACAGGGCTTAAAGCAGTCTGCTCAGGCCTGCTCTGCACTTTCAGTGAGGGAGGGGCGGGGTGTGTGTGTGTGTGTGTGTGTGTTCAAAAGGGGCATATAATCTTGGGTCTTAAATAGATGTATAAACCAAACCCACTGCCATAGAGTAGATTCCGACTCAGCAAGCCTAATAGGCCAGGGTAGAAAGGGCGCAGAAAAGTTACAGTAAAGACGGTAACTTTACGGAACAGATTGTCACTTCCTTCGCACTGAGCAGCTGAGGAGTTCGAACAGCTGACCTCTGGATTGGCAGTCAAGTGCTTAACCACTTGCGTAACTCCTTTCTAGGGGGATTATCCAGGGAAATAGAAATCGGAAAGGTACGTTTTCCTTACCTCAGCACAAGGGCAGGTTGCAGGCTCCCCTCCGTGTCCAGCCACACGGTCCAGAGCTGGCCTCTTCCCGGTTGGGCTGGCGTCACAGGAGGAGAGGGAGGCCCTGCCCTTAAAATCTGGCAAAGCCGACAGATCCCCCCAACCATTGCCACAGACTGTCAAAGCACGCTTAAACTGCCCAACTCTGTTTACGGGAATGACCCAACAGTTGTACCCT